TATGTAGATGCAATCGAAATTCTGAAGTAGAGCGATAGCAGCTGCAGTTGTTCTGCTTATTGAGAAAAGCGTTCTTCTCAAACATCAATCCATGCGCTCAATGACGGAGTACACTCCAGTACTGTAGATGAACTTCATCTTCCTAATAGATACTTTGTAAACTTAGCTTAGCAAACCAGAAACTTATGAATATGGTTATTCTGATTGAAGTATGGCACATTAAGTAGTATGTCCCACGTTTTTGTCACGTGGCTGAGAGGAGTGGAGTGGAGAAGAAAGCCACGTTCCCGTTTAGGGTTGCGATGGTTCTGGAGGATTGTATAGTCATATTTTGCAATCGGCTACACCATATTATTGCTCTCATAGTATAGCCGGTTTCAAGGAATCCATAGCAAATCGTAAAATCATAGCGGTCCCTCATAGTCTGAGCCACAACGCAGGAAACTCTTCACTACTACCAACTCATTTCTTCATCTTCGAGGGCAGTGCCTCTTTGGGCTGTTTATTTTTTGAAAGGCAATCCCGCGATCAAGTGAGCAGATAGAAGGTGCTCAGTCATGAACCAGTAGTCCATCAAAAAGTCATCAGTAGAGAAAGAAGCGAAAAAAAAACGTTTGGAAACACCTGAGCATACACCCCTCCCCCTGGCAAGTTGGTTGACGCGTCCGCTGTTGACGAGTTCATCATAAGCATGAGCCTCATATCAGCAGGATTCTAGCGGCAAGACCAGAGGAAATCACTCCACGACGCTCCACGCAACGCTATGTACGCGCGCAATTCCGTCGTAAGTCGTTGTCGGAAACCCATAAAGGGGGGGGGGCTAATCTCGAGGGTCACTCAGAGCCGGGCAATGCTTTGACATTTCAGTGAGATGCAGGTGGTGCATGTGAGAGTGGCAAGCTGTGGAAGTCATTGACTTTTTTTAAAAAAGTGAAAATTATTATGAGTGTATTCTCTTTACAGATTCAACTGCTACGTTTACAGCCCTCTTTTCATGCGGAAGTCCTCAGAAAGGAGTTCGTACTTGGCCGCGGGGGACGTGGGAAGTATCGCAAAAGTAGGCTCGCTAGGCATCATACAGTACAAAAGTATCATTGCTAAGTTTGATGAAACGGACGGAAAGCTGCACAAGACCCGGATGGAATAGGACTACAAACAAATAAAAAATTGATTAGCATTATATCAAGAATAGCAACGAATATAAATAAATGAATAAATAAATTAACTAGGAAACAAGTAACTAAAATATCAGTTAGTAGCATGCGCACCTAAGTACGTAGATGACCAAATAATACGTCTCAAACAGTATCGTGCGTATTGTCATTTCTAAACCCTAAACAAACATCTGCTTGCATAGAATAAAAGGCCACATTAAATCAATTTGAGAACCTTTGTACCACTCTGTCGTGGAGTGAGCGATAATGAACGGCCCACACCGGACCAAATCGACAGTGATAGCGAGCTCCTTCTTTCACTTCGTTGAAGCGTAAATATGTGTGTAGGGCACGTTAAAGTTTCCGAAGTTGTATCCTCACTATGGCACAGGAGGAGTCGATTTTTCGGGTGGTTTAGAGGGTAGCGCTTCCGTGACCCATCTAAAATATCTCCTAAACTAGAGCGGTCTCTACGAAAAGCAGCTGATACTAATATGGAAAAGAAAAGATAGGCGTTCATAAGACGATTTTAATACTGTTGAAAGTGCGGTCGAAGTAAGTAATCCTTGTGTGAAGCATAAAAACCCGTTTACCATTTACCCCTAGCCTATCAGAGACCCATCCGAAATATCCCACAAACGGGGAATTGTTCAGATTGCAACTGAGTAGAAAACGCAATAGTAGGAACATTGCCTTTGCATGCTGCTAACCATTCCTCAAAAGCCGCGCCCTGCAAGAGATATAACCCCTCCCCAGAAAAGACCCCAGGACGTTGGCAGGCCCAACATCCGCGCTCCAATGACGTTTTTCCAATGAAAGCGGTCGCAACGTTGCGATCGATAGTAGCCCGAATAAGAACGACATAAGTCGCCTGGTTATCCACTTGTTTCATTTGGCTCCGCATTTTTTTGTATCTTTCTTTCGCTTTGTTTTGTCGTACATGTTTTCATGATTTCCCCGTCACCATTCATTGAATGCACATCTGGGGCCTGACACGCTAACCTCGGGCTATTTTTTCACCAATTTAGCTTATCAATGATCACCATTAGTCGCTGTTTCGATTGTGTTCCTTCTTACAAGTTGCATGTCATACATGGTTATCGAACGAGGAGTTTTATTTTGAATCCTAAGACAAAATTGTAGGTAATGCGAGGCTGTTGTTCAGCCTCATATTGCATGAGGCTGAAACAGCCTTTTAGATCGTACTCACAACGTGCCATTTTCGCACAATCTTCATGCCCATGCACCCTGGTTACAGTACGCGGTTGCACCTTGCAGAGCTCACGCGTCTCTAGCTTCGTTATCTCACCATTTCGAGCGACGAAAGTGGTATATTCTCTCGACAGCGGACAACGATGCCAAACGCACTGCTACAAAAAAAATTTCTGGTGAAACACTATCCATGAAGGGTAGTTCGACGTTCTAATCACGAGTATGACATTCGTTTAAAACGTTTTCGTTTCAGCAAGGTGTAAACTTGCATATGGGGTCGTTCGGTGCGCTGATCGCGGACATGACATTCACTTTTAGGCCTGCCGCTAATTGGCGCCATTAGGTGACGATTTGCGAAGCACCTTTTCTAATCAAAATCGAAAAGACATGCATAATTGGATTGTTTGATGCTCCTTCGTACGAGTTATCATTACGGCTATTCTTTTCGTTAACACAGAGCGCTGCGCCTTTCTGGAGCTGAACCTTAGCAGAAGGTGATCTCCCTTCAGCGTCAGGTCAGCTCTATGGCAGATCGTATGATCGTTAGTGTAACGCTACGCCACCAAATAAACTGACACTTGTAATCATGCATGTCAACATAACCCTAGATTTCGACGAACTCGCGACTCAGGCACTTTCGAGCTGAGCAAATGTGATATTCTGGTTCAAGAGGTCAAGCTATCCCTGGAGGCAAGTTTTCTGACGGAAACTTGCGTGAATCTGCAAGGCGCGACAAAAACCAAAAGACACTTTTTTCCTTGACTTTCGAGGGCGCTATAAGTCAGACGGTTTAATTAATTTTGACCGCGAATTTCGCTCTTACTCGTACTGAAAGAGCGTATGAATGCTGTCCTAGGAACTGCCGCCACAGCCTTCTGTAGGACCGCCACGTAGATCTTGCCTGCTCTCTCCTCTTTCTGCGTTACAACCACCTAAATTGAATAACATGCCTTTTGAATATTACGTAGTACGTAATCAATAACATTCGACTCACAACCCATGAGATTGGCGACGTATAATGATTACGAATGTCAAACGAGTTAGTCAAATTGCCTCCAATGTAGCGCACCCCCATTTTAACGCGACCAGCCTTAAATTAAATTATATAGCGTATGATATTAATAAGATATACATAAACTTACAAACAGCTCACATCATATTCTCGTTTTTCTGCTGCTGTTAGTAGTTGATATATCGGATTACCATTCCAATCTGGATGGGCCCATCCCAGCCTTAAAAGGCGCGCCCGCGTTCAAATTTATGAGTATGCGGCTCAGGTAGTAACAGCGAGGTAGCAAGAAGCCTATTAGTGAAGAAAAATCAAACAGAAAACACGCAAAATGCCCTTAGAAGAGGTCTTCATACGAACAAACGTATGTTGTACGCTTAAGGCGAAGAGAAGGAGTGATTGCATGAGTTTCCACTTATTCATATCAGCTGTGTTCCCATATCACCTCACTCTCACCACTCCACGTGGAGAGAAGCAGCAATGGAACAACCGCACCATCAGGCAACCATTAGAAATGAAGTTGGGTGGCGTGGTCGGCAGGTGGGCGGAGCCGTCGGCTCTTTGCGGGCGGACGCCGCTGTTCCGTCGCATTTTTGGGTTGCGAAACATGCACGTCCACCATCCTCATAGGGAGCTACTAGATCCAGAGAGGGCGTGAGAACAACAAATGAACGCGGGCGCTGCCTTCAATTTGCAAGTTCGGGTGGACTTGAACTTCTATAAATATTTATAAGATAACTATCTAAAATAAGATAACTCAACTGCAAACTTCAATCTACTCACCAGTATCTCTCCATGATTGTTGACATACTCACATAGCATTTCCTTGAATCAAGCATATCAGGAACATTGAGCTGTTTCTCCGAACAATATCCCTTATTCGTTTCCGCAAGTACAAACTAAAATCGGAGTTTAATCAACTCTACTAATTAAGGGCAACAAAAAGTCAATTATTACCTTAGGTGTTCTAGGTCTCCGACCTGAATGGTATGACCACGTTCAACCTTGATAGAACAACGATTAGTACGATTATATTCTATCAAAAGACGGCGACCGCTAGTTATAAAGTAATCCCAGAAGCAGCTGGTCATTTCAGCCTGAATACTTATATTTAATAAAATAGAACTTTAGAAGAAATACAACCACACCTTAAAACACATGATGTCAGAGGAGCCTCCTGTCTGCTTTATCCAATTTAATGGGTACGGGTCTTTGACATTATCGTATCTGTGAAGCGAACACTATCAAGTAATTACTAGCTCAATATAAGTTCCAGATATGGGAGTGAATACCTTTGAACTTCAAAAGCTTACCTCAAAAAAAGCGGCTACCTCCTTGACGGGCGACTTCTGAGGATTCGGAACAAAAAACACCCGAATTAGTTTAGACATAACAGTACGATTTATATACTCTTGTTGTATCTCCATGCGTTTCACTTGGTCGCGGGTGGAATAATCTAATCCCACCTAAAAAATAAACGTCCGTATATGTAATGAGCATTTACCTATCCTATCACAAAAGCTTCTAAACAAAAAATTCACAATCGTTAAAGAATATGTTTTGATAAACTTCAATGTTTTTAAAAAAGTCACCTTATCTGTCGGACGGTCGGCAGAAGACATCACTCAGATAGGTTCAATATCGATAGACAACTAAAACAAGAATAAGTAATACAGAATAATCATTACTAATATCCAACTCACTGTTTCAGAAAATATGACACAACGTGATCTTCAATAACAAAGCAAGTACCTATCGCCCTATGTGATTCATTGCAACAGTGTTCACGACAGCTATTTAATAGAAAGCGACGCGCTAGTTACGTTAGACTAAGTCCTATTACAAGCGTAATGTTAGTTGATCGACTAAACCATACTTAAGTAAGCACTAAATTAACACGCAAAACATACGGCATACCTGTGATATGACAGCCAAAGACCAATAAATGATAACGAGGAAGTGTTGCTTCCTAGCGGGTAGCTGTAAGGAGCTAAGTGGTTCGAGATTCACCGTATTGCACTCACATACATACACTCTGCAATATAATAGTAGTCACAGAAAAATCAGCATCACATTAAGTTATGTATAACATATACTTTGTTAAGCTAATCCAAATAAGAAAAGAATAAAAGATACTTAAAAGGAAAGGGAGAGACCTTGGATGACAGTTAACTAATGGTGCGAGTATTGCGCAATCACCGATCGGAGATTCCGCAACATGTTTACACATACACATAATGTTATACAAAACTTAACTGAGCTGTATTTAAAAAAAACGATATGGTTCATCTATGAAACTCACCATTAAAATCCAGAATTTCGAGCGAAAGAAACCACGGAACGAGAATCCAAACAGAGAACCGATATGACTGCACTGCAAAGATTAAATTAGACAAAAGGATATAACGAAAACTTTAGTAATAACGACTCATAGAGTGATAAATAGGGTAAGAAAGATGAATAAAAACATAAACACATTCCAAATAAGAGAGAAGGTAATAGGATAAGAGTAAAAAGAGATAACAGGTGATTTCGCAATAAATGCGAATTTCTGGTTTTGACGCCGACTGGCGTGTCTGCGATTGCAGAATAAGCCACCGATTGATGGGTTAGTTTGTTTCCGTGATTACGGAATATATTCTAACACAGTACATAGATTAGCAATAATAGCTATACATTTATAAAAGAGAATCTCCAACGATGTAAAAATGGATGAAAAAAAGAAAAATAAAATTATGACTACAAAAATAGACTTGGACTGAGCTACTGGGCGAAATTTAGGCCAAGTGGAAAAGAATTTTCACAGGAATCTACACGGGACCTACACGGAAAAATTGACAGAAATAGATCATCAAAGGTAATAGATCAAAAGAAAAAAATTAACAATGGTCTATGCTCCAAACTCAAATTAACTTGCTGTTCTTATGTATTTGCTACACTCACATCTTTTGTCACATGTTAGTTTCACATGTTAGCTCAAGAGGGACCCGGGTGGGGGTTCCTCGCTTCTCTTTTGCCCTGTCCGTTTTTTACTCAGGGACTAGATCCCGTCCAACTAATCCTCAAACATCTAATAAGAGGGCCATACCACTTAATAAAAATAGGGATCTGCGCTGACGGGGTTATAAAAGTCAAAAAAGGCAAGAGGAGTCATTTTTTGAGCCTCCAGACGGGTCGTCCTATGGAAACAAAGGGATGCCAACCCCGGGGCAGCAGCCCTGCCAGAACCTTGGGGAGACTCCTCTCTTGAAGTATGAGGTTGGACACTCTACGCGCTTAGATTTTAGGTCAAAAACTGCGAACTAAATTATTATAAGGGTACCACCTTTACCAAGGTTAGGGGAGAGAACAATATGTATATACCATCGGTAACAACAAAAGTTGTGTGTGTAGCACAAATTGCACTGTTTGTAACTTAACAGATGATAATAACTACATAATCTCAAAGGTTACTAATCTAAGGATCAACACGTATAAAGGAAAAGATAGTAAGTTGCACAAGTAATGTTGTTTACTGTATTACTTGCAATAATTGTGGACAGCAATATGTAGGAATAACAACAAGAAAACTGAAAGATAGAATAAACAAAGAATGAACAAAGAAACAATAAAGAACACTTGTATGGTATTGCTTATCAAAAAAGCACACCCCCTTATATGAACATTTGCGAATATGTAATAAGGGGATAAAAGTCACCATATTAGACTCCCCTAGGTCTAATGACAAAACCTGTCTTCTGGACAAAGAACTGTTTCGGATAAAACTCTTGATGACCCCCCCCCTTCCATTCGGACTTAATGATAATATAAAAGGGTATGGTAATATTACTAATACAAACTTGGCGATAATGCATAAGAAAAACACTTTATTCTTCTGCTTGCATATCAAGAAATCCGAAATAATAGAGGAAACAAAAAGCGTAGTAAAGAAAATAGCAAGAAGTACACACATATATTAGATGAAATTATTATGAATGAGAATTTCCTAGAGCCTATGGTTTATTACAGGCTTCTTAAGAGTTTAAGTAGAAAAGAGATCAATAAAATTATCAAACTGTCTGTAGATAGCAATTTTTTAAATATGGTGAGGAGAACAAAACAAAGTTTTTAATCCTGTGTTCTACTAGCCCATTTTTATTTCAACACAGAAGAGGTGAAAAAGAAAACCAAAGATACCACAATGTAATTTTAAAATTCGAAAGTGGAATATTCAATGAACTACCGTTTAGTAGAGTCGTCAACTCAGCAAGGATTAAAGATATTCTGCTTAAATAATAACAGAGCGAATTTCACTCCTATAAGGATTATTTATAAATATGATAATGCTATATCCAAAAGGTTGTTCAATTATAATAGATTTTTAAAAAACTTAGATGAAGAAGAGATGAGGAATATTTGCAAAAACGACTGCATCTGTACTACAGACACAGTTAAAAATTATGTTTGTAGAAATCATGGTCATATTATAACTGGAAACTTGAACATTATCAGAGAAAGTAAACTAAAAGACATTAGCCAGAGGAACAAAATACATAGATACAGGAACAACCAGATCAGGGATAAAGAAAGTTTACAATAAACTGGTGGAACACATCATAAACTACTTCAAAGAATAAATACAATGCGAGTGATCAAAAAATTAAATTGGTTCATACGCATTTACAGTCACAGTTATACATAAGAAGATCAAACCTCTCCTCACTATAGCAATACCAGTCGGATCGCCCGGCTGACGCCGAGCTCTCCTCCTTCTTTTAGCTCGGCTTCGCCGAGCTGGCCTGGCTTCGCCAGGCGCGTTCCATAATGGAAACGGAAAAAACCTTTTTTCAATAGTGGGCTCCCTCTAGTGCGCGTGTAGTGTCAAATCGTTGCAGATCAGAGGAAGGCCGTTGGATTCGTGCACTACTTAGCACCACGCGTCTATTTTGCAAGCAGGGCAGGAGTTATTGAGTCCGCGCCCATTACTGCGCCATACAAAACATAAAATCTGTAGATAAGACACAATATATAGTAGGTCAATACAGCGCAGTATGAATCGCTCAGTAAAAAGCAGATTTCGTTTCCATTCCCTGCACCGAAATGCCTACCGATGAAAGTTTCCCTTTTCACTTAGCTTGCGATCCGCTTGAACTATAACTATATTGTAGGTACTATGAGCCCTTGTTATGCGATCTAATCAGCAATTGGAAGTTCAAAAGTAAAAAGTGCTATTGAACGCATGAAGTGCCACATTATTCATGTTTTTCGGTTCTCCTCGAATTTTTCCTGTGTTTCCTGTTTCATGCGAACTACAATACCCCCCCCCCGCCGCAACTCGTCACCTTCGAAATTCGACTAATTAGTGGCAGAAGAGTATCAATCAATTATGACGCTAATCAGACGTTCCTATTCATAGCCGGAATATGAATGATCCCACATCCCACCCTACACCATTTTCTGAAATCAACTCCTAGCTGATGCTGTGTCCTGCGTTATGAGTGTGGGGACCTTACCGTTCTAACTCCCCTCATGCATCTTATCAGCATGATTACAGCAGGGACACGCTCCACTTCATATTAGTTGGGCGGTAGGATATTGTCAAATAAGAGCGTTTTTTGCAAATTATCGCTATTTGATGCGTAATCACAGTTAATATTTCAGAGATCTGCCATCTGCTTCGATAACAAACAAAACCTGAGGCTGTAACGGGAACTTGGAACATTCAAAGTGCATCTTACGTCTTAGGAGAGTATATTTCAGTCGGGCCCATCATTTTTAAGAAAGTTCTGCCACTCCAAGCGTTGGATTTCACGCGGAAAGAAAAAAAAAAAATGGTATCTACATCCTAATCTTCGTTAAATTCTGCTAGCACAAACCGCTGTTAGAAGGGATGTTTAGTTAGCATAAGTCTGAGCGCAGCGAAAATTTCCGTTTGACATAAGGTTCGGAAGACAACTTTAATTGACTCGCCTCATGTTATTAAGAGAGACCTCTCGAGGGAAAAAATTGATATTAGTTAAGCGAGAATAACAAATAGTCTGTGATAATAGATCTCAGAAATTACACAATGCAATTCATTCACAGGCCATGGTGTAAAACGATTCCAGAAAAAAATAATCAAAATGTTTCAAATGCAGCGGTAATGACGAGGAATATACGCCCTTCCGCGTGCAAAACTGTGAATTACTCCTTCAGGATCATTGGCAGATATTCATGTTTATAAGCAGGCCCATTGTAACGCAGTCCACAACATAATAACGCTCTTACTTGTACCCTCCCACCACCTTCTGCAGAGTAGCCCCGAGTACAAAACATAGGAGCCACTCATCTCGCCTCATGCGGAAGCTCCGGAAGCAATCCACAAAGCCAAAAGTAGTATGCACTTACCAAAGCACGAAACCGGTATCCACTTTCATCAGCCCTTCGAAGCAGAAGCTGATCTAGAAAATGTTAACTAGGCGCTGTTTATCGAGGGCGGGGGGGGGGCATTTCGTACTATCACTGCTTCCCTTGTTCCGGTTTGCAAATCTCACTTTGGTGAAACTTGTGAGCTCTTGTGAAGCTGGAGCAGGATCATCTAGCCACCATCCCAAAACGTGTCAGCTCGAGAAAACGCTACCTAGATGGGTCGACACATCTATGGAAAGCAAAATGCCCCCCCCCCCCCCGTCGATAAACTGCGCCTATTAACTATGATTACGCACAAGAGCGGTAATCTCACAAAAAACCGCTCTTATTGAAGTATCCTAAGTTCAAATGAAGTAAAGGGACACGTGGTCCCACAACGAAGTGGACGACTTGCGCCCCTATCGAAACTTACAGCAGGAAACTATTGCAGCATTTTCTTCTTCGACCCTTTCTTATATAGCATTTGAATCGAATGTGCGTAAACTGAGTAGCTTCTTCGTCTTTGGCTCGAAGAAAAGCTCAGATTTGCTTTAGAAGTCTAGGAATTTATCGCCGTTTTTGAGTTCATGTTTCTATGCAGAACATACGCGAACATTTAGCTTTGTACTAGCTACTCACGCGTTTGTGGGTGGATGCTGGGACGCCGAGCGTATTCGGCTCTAAATTGACGAACCGAAAATGCTCATAGCGGTTCTAGTGGCCACTGTGGGTGATATCAGCCACGCGTATCTATCCCATTTTACCAGGTTATCCCGAGAGCTAACGGTGCGGAACCTCATTGTGCCAATTTTTGGGATTTCTGATCTGAAGAATCTGAAGAAAATGCTCGAAGAAGCGCGCAAGGAGCAGTGCGATTTGGACATGGATATATCTATTTTTCCAGCACAACAGCCTGCAACGGGGAGCGAGTCATTTAAAGTTATAGAAAACCTGTGGAAGGATTGAACATGGATTCCGACGAGGACATCGGAAAAGATGATGGCAGATGAAGATGGGGGCGAGGCTAAAGGTAGACCTACACAAGAGCTGCATTCTTTCTTGTTACCCGTCATAAACCTACACTCTCCTTTCCGTCTCTCAAGGTACCACGGTCGACGAGGAAATGCGCGCACCATCGTCGGATGAGGAACTCGACCTTCCCAAAGCGCACTCTGTCAGCAAAGCTGAAATCGAAAACTCCAGAAGGAAATCTTGCTGGTGGGTAGTTGTTTCATTAGATGTCGTTGTTACTGAGAGATGACTTGAGTACATTTTAGAGTGGAAAAAAAGGATGTTTGATGCTTGGACACACATGTGTTCAGTGCACATGCGGGCGTATGAAGAAATTATGGAAAGTCAGCGTAAAATAATGCATGAAACCGTTAAGCTCATAAAGGTAGGAATTCTGAATATGTTGCAACCACATGGGGAACTATCTCAAAGTAGCCATTTCATAGGATCACTTCCGCTCGTGTGCCCGCGATGGCTGAAGAAATTATATTATGTGATAATAACATTGAGCCGAGCGTCTACGGCGAAGAAATGAAATCAAATGGAGCGAAAGAGCAATATGTGAGGGAGCATGAGTAAGTTCAAAATTCTTTGTTTTATCAAAACATGGAGAATAGCCTTTTTTCAGATTCTGTTCCCGGTGAAGATCGGTGATAGATCATTGATTGTAATGTTGATTCTAATAATTGTTGAATGGCTGAATGCAATTGTTAATTGTAATGATTGTTGAATGGCAAATTGTTGAATGGTTTAGTGGCGATAATGTTGAATGTTGATTATAATCACTGTGATAAAGCAGAAGTTTTGTGTGTCGGTTTGTCGGTCTGTCTGTATGTATGTTTGTTTGTATGTTTGTCCGTCCGCAAAATGCTTCACGGGATTCAACATGTAACTGAAAGGAGAAAACGACCGCTAGCCAATCTAGGAACCTTTCGGTGCAGATGTATCAATCCAATGTTTTGATTGCGATAACACCACTATATTAGACAAAACAATGCACTCTGAGCCATTGCTCGGGCTGCTCGCGTGGCAGCCGGGCGTGGGTTCAGTGGGGCAGGGTAAGGAGAAGCAGGGGTCAAGGGCATGGGATGAACCTAGGACGAGGGGGGAAGGGGTGGGCGAGGAAGTGAGGTTACTGGGCTGCTTGGCGGCTGAACCTGGGTGCAGTGGGACAGGGTAGGGAAGGGCAGAGGCGAGGGGGCATGGGGAAGAAGATAGGCGAGGAAAAGAGGCCAATGGTGAGGGCGGGGGACCTGGAGTGCGCTTCAACAGCAGCACACCATAATGGTGAAAAGAGAAGCATTAGTGAAAGCGAAAAGAAGAAAGGAAGGATCATGGTCCATGTTGTGCTAAGTGTAAATTTAAGGTAATATTGCGAATGTGAATACATACCGCTGTATATAAAACAATCATTTCGTGTATTCGAGCCATTGCACAAGCTGCTCGCGAGGCAGCTGGACGTGAGCGCGTGGACGGATCAGGGGGAAGGGATTGAGGCACTGGAGGGGTTGGGGGTTGGTGGTTGTTTTACTAGAAAGCGTAGAGTTTAACATGAGCACACCGTTGCGAACCAATTCATAATGCGGTATCAATTCGTTGTAGTGTTCTGACTAAGATATCACCCTTTTACTCAAACGTTTCAGTACTGAAGAAAATGAATAATAGGGGCAAGGAAAATGTACAGTTAAGGTACGTAGCAAAAATACGAGCATTTGCAATCTCTGTGCGACATGCCTGGATGGAGTAGAGCGCCATATACAGTTTCTTGCTTGTTATGCGAGACCACCGCCGCGCCTGGTGCGTAGTAATAGCGTAGTGGCAATGATGCGCGCTACCATTCGCATGGTGGGGAGATCGATACCTACCGCTGAGCGAAGTTTTGCAAATAGCCTAGCGAAGCTCGTTGTTTCCAGCGTGGTTGCCTCGCTCATACGTCGCTCGTTGTTCTGCATAACCGCGAGCAACTCATCACATTTGATTGCGAGATTTAGGCAGATTACTACCGTCCCAGGATGCGCAAGTTGTTAAACAGATTTTTTAAAGGACGCTAATCACTCGTGGTTAACCAATGGTCACATTGTGGGAGGTTGTTATGCCATCCACCCTAGCCGGTATTTATTCCTCCGAGAGTCGGTATCATAAGTACGGCGTTCAGAGCCCTAAGGGGCAGTTTTCTGCAGTTTCGCAACTTTCGCAGTTCAAGCCCGCTCTCTTTGAAGCCCAGCGCAATTCGATTATTTCAGGCCTTAACTACGAGATGACCGGCGAAAAGTGTACGAGATTACAATACGAGAAATGAGTCACACTACGCCGAACGGACTCGCCAGCACTCGATGAGACCTTAGCACGTCAGTCAACTCATAAGTGAAAAAAGCACCAACAAAACATTAGCCGCATGGGTCGCTTATAAATAGTAATTGTAACATGTTGCATGTGTCTAGTTGTTTATAAATATGTAGTCTATCAACTGAAATGCCAAACCTTATTGATCCGTGATGCAGTTCAAAACATGGGTAGCTGTAGACTCAATGCAGTGAATAATCAGTAATGGACAACAATGTGCTGAGCTGGTAACGCTCATTCAGAAAAAACGTAGACAAGGTGCAACGCTTGGGAATAACGTGGGAGGGGGGCGTCTTCGAGGAACAACGTGCCCTACCGCTCAATGCCGGCGCACGATCAAAAATCGCTTTTGATGTTAGTGACGTTGTTGTTGGTGGTGGTGTTGTTGCCGCTGTTGTTTTGTTGTGTTGTTGTGAAGACAGGTACTGGGTGTGTAACTTTAGCTAGGCCGGTAATTAGGCTGGCACATCTCGCACCTAGTGTGCCTTGCCAGTGGGGAGCCCTTTCATAAGTGACTGACCTCTTGTTATAACGCTCATCTCAAAGCATAACAAGGGACTGAATCAATATTTATTGATGCCAATTTATTAGGCTAATATTAATAATAATTTTGCACAAGATTTACAATTACAGTATGAAAAAGCAGCACATTTCAGTACAAAAAGAAACACATACGAATTACAAGAACAAAACTATGAAGTTGTGTCTGTAACATACCTGGCCATTTTCCTGCAGTAATAGTCTATCTGATCGTCAGTTACTCCACTCCGATAAAGCTCATCGAACCTGAATTAAGGGCGGCTCATTTGTGTCTATGCACCACTGCATCGAAGACCGTGGAAGCCCACCTTTCCATTTCTTCCGCTATCTTGGCCCTTCTTTCCTGATCTTTTTTCTCCAGCACCCTTGCATCATTAGGATACTGTGCCGGAAAAAGTTGCAATTATGGAATACCATTGTGGAAAAAAGAAGATCCAACCTCTTCCAGGCGTTTAAGAGCTGCCCGCGTTTCGTAATTGAGTTTATGCAGGGCTTCAATAAGTACGCTCAGAGGCGGGTGTTCAACACCTATAAGGAACCCTAGGCGCCTGAAATTGTCTAATTATGTACTTTAACGGCTGTAATCATGACTTATTACCTATGAAACGCTTCTGCCAGATTTGTAGTCCCCAGCTCCACTACTTTACATTTGCACCACAATTCTTGAAGGTGTCTTGAAGCCAAGTCGCATCAAAGTACCTCAGGAAGCTTTCACAGTCTCCATAGGCGGCATGCCCTGTTGGTACGGGAGGAGCTCGCAAGGCTTTCACTCGTGGGATCAGAGCGAGGAAGGAACACTACACCTACAGCAGGAGATTATTGCCTCGATTTCCCTGAAGATTCAAAGTTATGAAATTTCTTGTACCTTTTATAGTGTTCCACCACCAACTCGATCTTCTCGTTGTGGTTCCTGAGTGAACTTTTTGAGACCGGAATCATTCCGTTTGCGATTCCAGGCCTGCGCTATATGGAATGCGCAGCCTTCTATGGATGATCCCGGGAAGGTCTTTCGTGCAGCTGAAATCGCTGCTTTTTTGAAGTCCAAAATCACCCGTCGTGGTGCATCGCTAGTGATCGAAGCCTTCAGGTTCTCGAAGGTTTTCGAGTAGATCTTCTCCGTTTTCTTCGCTCTTATGCAGAAAATCAGGGGTACCTCTACACTCTGAGAGCACACTCCACGCACGCAATACAGCTGTGCGTTGTACCTAGCTTTTTAGGATGCAGGGTATGCGTCCCGTCTGCTACTATGGCGTGAAGGCCGGCTTCACAAGCCTTCTGAAAAATATGAACTTGAAAGGGAGCTACAGGTCATAAAAAATTGAAGTTCTCACTTGAATACTCGCCACGGAGTAATAGATATGAAACCCGGGAATATGATGCTAAAGGAACGTGGAGCCATCACGGAGATGCGGTACTCCAAAAAAACATGATCCATAGTCACGGACTTTTCTGACCACACTCCCACGCTCCTTAAATGGAATTAAGCTCTCGGCACCAACTAACAAAACTATTGCAGAAAGAACGAAGGATATATACCTGGTTATAGCTTGCCTCCGAGCCTTATACCCAGAACGACGGATCGCAGCCCTAATAGAGTCTTCCATGTCTTCTGAAGACAGAAAAAGTGTAGCGTTCAGAAGAGTAAACAAACTACAAACATCCTACCATCGTCTGCTTCTAAGGGAGCCGCTACCATGTCCAGGAAAACTCTGACGGGCTTTTTTTCTGCATACGCAGGATCTCGTCTCACTTTTTGAAGCTCCTGAAAAATATGTTTATAACATCCAGTGTTAACGGAGAAGAAGTGCCTCACCTTAAACACGTGTCGATTCCCCCTCTTCAGTGATACTGGCGGCAAATACACTGCATGGCCATACTGCAAGGGTCGGACAAGAATTCGTTTTCAGTAACCTGAATGATGAGTTAACAGAAGTTGCTCCTGCAGTTTCTGTGATTTTCCTCGCGTACTCTGATATAACCGCCGGCTGACGCTCGCTCTCCGCGCTTTCTCCTCTCTTTTTGGCAGTGCACGCAGGTGTATCATCCAGGTTTTGCTCTTGTACGCTAGGTAGAAGGTGAATGATCTTGTCGTCGCTGGAATTGCTTCTGTGGAATTAGTAGTTCGATCTGTTTCGAAACTCTTTTGCTTGACGGCTGTCTCTCGCCAAGTGTTGCTGTGACACCTCTGATTCTATCTGCAGCACAGCAGGAGAAGCTGAGGCATCCAAGGTACCTGAAAGATGCGTTGTGTGCCTACAAAGAGGGCAGGAGTGCAACGAAGGTAGTAGGCGCAGGTTCTGTCGCAGAAGGCATCTGTGGTAAAGATGAGATGAAGACCTATAGAGTGAAGGAGTGGCCGCGTACATTGTGCTGTAATAAGTGTCTGTAAAGGAACCATATACACTGGAATGATGGAGAAGGAATGGGCAGGTGGAAAGTGGATGGTGTGCTGAACGACTGATCAGGTCCTTCTGTAGTCGGGATGTTGATCGTAGAGGCCATGTACAATGAAGGTTCAGTTGTGAAGTGTTGAAGTGGAGGGTAAGGGGTTGGGGAGTGTTGACATGATAGGTACTGTACATAGACGCACTAGGTCCTGCTGAGAAGGTATGGCTGAGAAGATCCGAATAGACGAAAAGTCGCCGTAAATAGAAAGTGAAATATGCTGAAGACATAAACAGGGAAAGAGTGCTGGCTTGCAATTCTTCTGGCCTGTAAATACCTTGTTGAGGTTGACCTTCGAAGAGGGTCGTGATCCACGAAGGGAATCAAAAGCAAGGTTTCTAGGTGATTCGTGGCGAAAGGTCATCTGCTGTTAACTAGTTTGCCTGTACAGTTCGTAAGTACTTCTGTCATCCATATAGCGTAGAAGGTAAGTTCTTCACCCTTTTCAGACCCATTTTCCATTTAAGCGTGTGTTTCTGAACCTATAAATGACTTCAATTCTCCTAACTCTTGGCTCTTGGATTTCCCCTTTCTTCTATGTATCAATAATATTCACTGAGCTGGAAATGCTGGTGAGAGGTCACCAGCCAGCGCAGCCAGTCAGGCAAGGTCACCCCACAGGCGAGGGCGGAAAGGTGCTAAGTGAGATCAACCTAGCTAAATTGACATTCCCACAGACTTGTCCAACGCGAACTATATTGTGTATGTATATTATAGACCTGAAGAAGGGCTTCTGGCCCGAAACGTCGCCAAATAAAAAATTCGAAGAGTTTTCATTTTAATAAGAAGACAGCAAAGAAGCTACTACCCAATGAAACTCAGAAACCCTATGATAGAAGTGTTGAAAAAGTGACGCAATGTGCTAAGCAACTGTGCGCTTACAACATTTTACAAATTTTCAGTCGTGTTATAACCAGGATTTCGGTTTCTTTGTTAAATGAGGTTAAACAAAGGTATAATATTCTTTGTTTAATCCTCATTTAACAAAAAAATAATTAGAATAAAATGGTCGAGATATTGCAGAAGATGTCGGTAACTTAGCCCTTAACCAGGGAGGGTCGTGTCAGGAATGGCCGCGCTTTTTAAAACGGTTTTTGCATTGTGTAGGGGCACGTTCATGGACTACCAAACTGACGTTCATTTTTCCTAAATGGCTCTTTGAATACCAAAAAAGGAGTGAAGAAGAAATGTATGGAAACGGGTTGGTTTTGAGCCTCTATGGGCTCCAAATCACTTCCACAACTTTAGAACCACGTGGCTTGAGTAGTGGGTCTTATAAAGGCACTAGGTATCGAGGAGGAAAGTAGTCGCAAATGGGGTCTTATTTGCGGCACGTGATTGACAGCGAACGCCTCTGGGCGGCTTGTCGGGATGGTTTCTTCAATGATCGGGAGCGGTGTTCAGCTACAACGATCGGATGGCCTAGTGGATAGCGTGGAGGATTCTCAATCGGATGGTAAGGGTGGGTGTTGATGGTTCGACTCCCCTCGGCGTGCTAGTGGTTTGCATTTTTTTAGGCTTCGCTACCTTGCCTCCATAATCTTCTGCATGAGGATAATATGGATATTTATTTATTTATTTATTTATTTTGTGACGCAGTGAACTGAACGATATTTGCCATTTATTGGCAAAATTCCTCACCTGTATGGAAATTCGCGAGGTCGGTATTATAGACAGCATTACAGGATTTCTCTACATAAGGCAAGGCTGCGCTGGCCGAAACAAAATTTTAGCTGTGTAAGTAAGTGATGAGATTATCAATTTGGTACTTAATTTTAGCTGTGGTGCCATTTGACTCCGATTTGCATCCACATCACTCTCCTACGGAATTCACTATGGAAATCCATACAAGGGACGTTTCGCGCTATCCTGCCGTCAGATTGCGTCAGCGCCAGAAATAAGTGTCAGAATCGTGTTCAGGACCATCAATAACCCCTATAGACGAAGAATCGCTCAAAAAATTTTTCGACCGTCTTTGGTTAAGGCGGCCCATTTGGTCGACGATTATGACCGAAGTCCCACACCTTGCCAAGGGCGTAATGCTAAAGGATGACGTATGCGCGTCCGGCCGAGCAGCCAGCATGCGCGGAATGCTCGGTTGCACCAAAGGTCTTCGAGCAGTTAATAAGATCTGGATGCATGTGGAATACGTGAACAACTTTTCCCAGTGGTGCATCCTTGTTGTCAGTTTTATGTTTACTGATCAGTAAATGGGAAGGTTTGAATAACAGGCAAAGTACGATTTCAATAGAAAGAATCGTGTACACAACTCCAATACATACACCCAATAAGGTCGAAAAATTTTTTGAGCGATTCTTCGTCTATAGGGGTTATTGATGGTCCTGAACACGATTCTGACACTTATTTCTGGCGCTGACGCAATCTGACGGCAGGATAGCGCGAAACGTCCCTTGTATGGATTTACATAGTGAATTCCGTAGGAGAGTGATGTGGATGCAAATCGGAGTCAAATGGCACCACAGCTAAAATTAAGTACCAAATTGATAATCTCATCACTTACTTACACGTAAAAATCAGTTTTCGGCAGCAGAGAAACAAAAAAAAAGGGGCAGCAGCCTTGCCTAATTGTAGGAGAAAATTGTAATAGTGTTATAATACCGAGTCGCGGATCCTACAGGTAAGAATTTGCCCATAAATGGCAAATATCCATGTTATCCTCATGCAGAGACATTTATGGAGGCGAGGGTAGCGAAACTAAAAAAATGCAAAAACTGGCACGCCGAGGGGAGTCGAACCATCAACACCACACCCTTACCATCCGATTGAGAATCCTCCACGCTATCCACTAGGCCATCCGATCGTTGTAGCTGAACACCGCTCCGATCATTGAAGAAACCATCCGACAAGCCGCCCAGAGGCGTTCGCTGTCAATCACGTGCCGCAAATAAGACCCCATTTGCGACTACTTTCCTCCTCGATACCTATAGTGCCTTTATAAGGACCCACTACTCAGCCACTGGTCAAAGTTGGAAGTGATTTGGAGCCCATAGAGGCTCAAAACCAACCCGTTTCCATACATTTCTTCTTCACTCCTTTTTTGGTATTCAAAGAGCCATTTAGGAAAAATGAACGTCAGTTTGGTAGTCCATGAACGTGCCCCTACACAATGCAAAAAACCGTTTTCAAAAAGCGCGCCATGTCCTGAACGACCTCCCTGGTTAGTCCAGTTTCCCCATACATTTTTGTTCCCAGAAGACTTCAGAAATATTCCGACCTTTTGAATCATCTAACAATGTTAAACAAGTTCAAACGAAGCGTGCTTCGCCATGTGCAGCACGCGGCCATACAGAGGCAGACGAACGTGCTGCATTTGGTTGGAGTACGCGGTACGCAATGAGTTAAATTGAATTGTAAACAGGCCTTAACGGAGCAGGTTTTTTTCAGCCAAATAGAGTGTGTATAAAATAAGGCAAACATATTAGGCCGTTATGATGGATGAGATCACCACACGCGCATTGTCAGCAAGAAGGAAGGTGATCCCCGAAATGTGAACTGGCAATCTACAAACACGTGAAACAGGAGTGTGAGTGTGAATTGTTGCCAGCTGGGTTCAGTGTGTCAAAGGACGGTCCTATGAAACCAATGACCTATGAAAACGCAAGAAATTATGTGGGTGTGGCCGTGTGCCATCGGGGTGTGCCACGCGACCGTCCACTCCTGACCGCACTACCTTCCCACAGCGGAAAAGCACTACCTTCCTTCTCGCGGTGGATAGTTGTGCGATAAAGGAATTGAGGCGCAAAGTTGCCTCAGTGATACATCCTTCTCTCCAGGCCTCCGCCTGCCAGGACTCCGCTTCCAGAAGTCTTTCCAGGCCAAAAAGTAATGTCCCGAGCAACTGTCCTGAAGTTCTGGATAAACACTCCTGCCTCTTTGTGGAGTCATGGGGTTTATTACAAGAAATCAGCCGACAGGAATCGTCCCAGCACGCGGTCTTTTACCTCTACAGTTGTAGACACGCCGTCCACAGTCCACATGGAACCTTTTTTGTCACTACACTGGGAAAAGACACATCATTGTTAAGCTGTTAGAAATGTTTTTCAAATATGGTAACTGCTGCTTGACGATAGTTTGCTTGCATTTCGAAAGTCATGGCTCATAATTCAGGACAAGGTACAGTTTCTGCTCGACATCGGTTTTGTTAACTTACAACAGGCCCAACCAGGCACATATGTAGACATCCTCTTCTGTACTGCGGGATGTAGCCACTTGGGTTTGTTTAACTTTTCGAGCGTGTTTCGATGATATTCGAACAGTCAACGACAAG